AGGAGAATCGCTTGAATCTGGGAGGCAGAGGTTGCAGTGAGTCAAGATCGTGCCACTGCACCCCAACCTGGACGACAGAGTGACCCTCTGTCTCAAAAAAAAAAAAAAAATCCAAAGAAAACAGGAGAAAATTTTTTTGACCTTGAGTTGGGCAAAAATTTATTGGATGTTATGCTTAAAGATGGATACAGACTGGGTGTGGTGGCTCATACCTGTAAACCCAGCAATTTGGGAGGCCAAGACAGATGGATCACTTAAGCCCAGGACTTTGAGACCAGCCTGGGCAACATGGCGAAACCCCGTCGCTGCAAAAAATACAGAAATTGGCTGGGCATGGTGATGTACCCCTCTAGTCCCAGTTACTCTGGAGGCTGAGTTGGGAGGATCGCTTGAACCCGAGAAGCAGAGGCTGTAATGAGCTAAGATTCCGCCACTGCACTCCAACCAGGGTTACAGAGTGAGATCCTACCTCAAAAAAAAAAAAAAAAAAAAAAAAAAAAAGGCCAGGCACAGTGGCTCACACCTGTAATCCTAGCACTTTGGGAGGCCGAGGCAGGCAGATCACAAGGTCAGGAAATCGAGACAGACCATCCTGGCCAATATGGTAAAACTATCTTTACTAAAAATACAAAAATCAGCTGGGCGTGGTGGCGCGAGCCTGTAATCTCAGCTACTTGGAGACTGAGGCAGGAGAATCACTTGAACCGGGGAGTCGGAGGTTACAGTGAACTGAGATTGTGTCACTGCACTCCAGCCTGGACAGAGTGAGACTCTGTCTCAAAAAATAAAGGATAAGTTTCAATTAGCTAATTAATTGCAAACTCTTAATAATATGGCTCTTAGCATAATTATTATGGTATATTCTAGAGAAGCTCTTAAAACCCTTCATGAAGTTATATGAAGTCATGTCTGTCATAGAGACGAGACACCCTGCTCCTCAGCTCCTCACCACCTCTCCTTTCCTACCCTACCTTTGGTTTCTCCATTCACGCATCACTGGCTTCCTGGCCTTGACTGCATCTGTTGGCTTCTTCCTTTTGGGCTTTGGCTGCTGCTACTGCATAGTTATTTCTCCATCTTCCAAGTTAGGCTACCGAGAGAGAACCTGATTGGCCTAGATTATTTTTCCTTATTCTAGACACTAAATAAATGTATTCAACCAGCAATATAGTCCAGTCATCATTGGCTAGGGGGTAGGGTGGATGGGGGCATAGGGCAATGTTTGGGAGGAGTCTAAGGGGAAAGGTATAGAGTATTGGCAAGTGTAATGTGGACTGTACTATCAGCTGGCACCATGAGCAAGAGATAGAACCATGTGTGTGGTAAACAGCATAATATCCACAGTTGTTATAATGTAAAATGTTATTCCTATTTTCTTCTTTCAGAAACCATTGATAATCAAGCTGCCTTCCAGTTATGGCTCTCTTATTTTATTGCCCCCTCCTAAATCAATCCTTAACAGGTAGTGAGATAAGGGTTTAGAGAAGGAGCTTTTGCCTATTCTCTAGGTCAGAGGTAGAGATCTCAAGGTATGTGGGACCAGAGGATAGGATTATGGATTAGTTGGAAGTTGTTATCAGAGGTCATTTGATAGACCTTCTTGACTTTGGATGTAGCACCCAAACCATGCCTTTCAAATAAACAGTAGTCTATCTGTCCTCTTATACTTTTGTCTGTTCCTGTAAGCAATTCTCACAGCTAGCTTTTCATGACATTTGAGCCATTTTTTTCCCTGATGGGCTTCATTGGTACTATAGGATTCATAATATCAGTCCTGTAATGGTCATCATGCTATTTGATTTTAGTGTGTCCTTTTTTCTTGCATGATGCTTCTTTTGCTATTTTTCTTCTTGGCTTTTCATCTTTTGGTTTGTTGAGGTCCTTAAATCCTTATTGTCAAGTCCCAGAATCCTAGAGACAAAATGGACTTATGTTTGTTTGGGTTTTTTTGTCACATAACTGGAGGGTCTGAGCTTGTGTTTGCTTTCTGCTGTAAGAACTGGTACATCTAAGACAGTCAGCTGCAGAATTTGGTTTGGCTGGTTAAAACGTCCATGGAGATGGAATATCATGCAGTCCAAGTAGAAAGATGTGAATGGGCCGATGAAGACAGGTTGCTACCCAGGGCTTCTCAAACTTGAGAAATCACCTGGGCATCTCGTTAAAATGCAGATTTTGATTCAATAGGTCTAGGGTATGGCCTAACATCTGGAAATCTGCATTTCAAAGAAGCTCCCAGGAAATGTTGATGCTGCTGATCTGCAGACACACTTAGAGGAGTTAAGAACTGAAGGGTTTAATATTCCCAAACAGGCCTCAGTGAACAGAAGCTGCCTATATCGCTCCCCCTCCATGCCGGAGAACTTGAATAGGCTAAGACCGAAGCAGGTGGACAAATGCAAGGACAATGCAATGCCAGATAAAGTTAAAAAAAAGTATTTTTCTGGCCAAGGAAAGCTCAGGAAGGTAAGAACTTTTTAAGATGAAAATCTGTTCATCTCATGTCTTTGCTTTACAGGTGTGAGGATTGCTTTAGTATGCCTTTTTTGTCATCCTCTTCTTTATGTTTACTTTTTCCTCTTCGTTCTTAGCACCTTTCAGTCTTTTCTACATCTGTATCCACATGTGAAATATGTGTGTAACATAGATATATAAAGTATATCTATATTGTACTTTCAGAAATGTTGTCATCGGCTGGGCATGGTGACTCAGGCCTGTAATCCTAGCACTTTGGGAAGCCAAGGCAGGGGGATTGCCTGAGCTCAGGAGTTCGAGACCAGCCTGGGCAACACAGTGAAACCCTGTCTTACTAAAATACAGAAAATCAGCTGAGGATGTGCCTGTAGTCCCAGCTATTTGGGAGGCTGAGGCAGGACAATCGCTTGAACCCAGGAGGCGGAGGTTGCAGTGAGCCAAGATTGTGCCACTGCACTCCAGCCTGGGCAACAGAGCAAGATTCAGTCTCAAGAAAAAAAAAAAAGAAATGTCATCATACTGTCTTCACAACCCTTTTTCTTCAGATCTGAAAGAATGTAAGGGAACTTTGGTATGGATATTTTACTGCTGTGTCACATGCAGTCTGACAGAAACAACATCATATAGCAGATTGATTTTGCGGAAAGCAACCTCTAAAAAAGTTAGTCTTTGTTTTTTACCGTCCCCAACTTTTAAAAATTCTAAACAGATGGGAGGATCACTTAAGGCCAGAAATTCAAGACCAGCCTGGTCAACATAGCATGATCCCATCTCTTATAAAAAATAATAATAATAAATAATAGCCGGGCGCGGTGGCTCACGCCTGTAATCCCAGCACTTTGGGAGGCCGAGGTGGGTGGATCACGAGGTCAAGAGATCGAGACCATCCTGGTCAACATGGTGAAACCCCGTCTCTACTAAAAATACAAAAAATTAGCTGGGCATGGTGGTGTGTGCCTGTAGTCCCAGCTACTCAGGAGGCTGAGGCAGGAGAATTGCCTGAACCCAGGAGGTGGAGGTTGCGGTGAGCCGAGATCGCGCCATTGCACTCCAGCCTGGGTAACAAGAGCAAAACTCCGTCTCAAAAAAGAAAAAATAAAAGAAAAAAATTAAAATTCTAAATATCTTTGGATATTTTAGGAAATCAATGTATTTATTTATTTATTTATTTTCCCCTGAGATGGGGTCTCACTCTGTCACGCAGGCTGGAGTGCAGTGGCATGATCTCGGCTTACTGCAGCCTCAACCTCCCGAGCTCAAGCGATCCTCCCACCTCAGCCCTCCAAGTAGCTGGGACTACAGGCATGTGCCACCATGCCTGGCTAATTTTTGTATTTTTTGAGGAGATGGGTTTTCACTATGTTTCCCAGGCTGATCTTGAACTTTTGGGTTCAAGCAATCGTCTCGCCTTGGCCTCCCAAAGTACTGGGATACCTATTTATTTATTTATTATTTTAGAGGCAGAGTCTCACTCCGTCACCCAGTCTGGAGTGCAATGGTATGATCGTAGCTGACTACAGCCTTGGCCTCCTGGGCTCAAGTGATCCTCCCACGTCAGCCTCCCCAGTAGCCAGAATTACAGGCGTGAGCCATCATGCCCCGCTGCATCCACTGGTTTTAAAACCTTTAACATGAGGATTGGGTGGGGGTGGGAATCTTGTCATCTTCAGGGCTTACATTTAAAGAAGACAGTCTCTCTGTGTGACATTAATATCATTGAGATGCTGGAGGAAGATTCTAACCAAGGGCATCTGATTGGTGATTTTTCCAAGGTGAGTTTGGTTACACCCATCCTGTATTTCAGTGAGTCATTTTGGATCCGAATCTTCTCTGTGTGCATAGAATGCTCAGTGTAATTACACATCTTCACCAAGTACTCTTTGATAACCTGACAGTGCTCTAGTGGTAGATACAGGCCCTAAGCCTTTACAGTGAGAAAATATTTCTTATTCTCTGGGAAAATCCAGAATAAAGTGGAAAGTATGAGACTTTTACCTTTTTTCCATTTAAAGACATATTTTAAAATTATGTAAATAATACTTGGTTTTACAGAAAAAAGTAGAAATGAAGAAATTTATCCCAGACTTTATTAACCAGGGTAATTATTTCTTGGTATATATTCTTTTTTTTCCCCATTGCCTGTGTAATTGCAGAAGGTATATATTCTTACACATTTTTTTCTGTGTTTTTACAAACACATATACAAAAAAAATACAGTTTTGCTTTTCTACAAAAATAGTTTATATTGTTTTGTTATCTGTACTCTCATTTAATAATTATATCAGGAGCATCTGAGCATCTTTTTTCTTTTCTTTTTTTTTTTTGAGATGGAGTCTTGCTCTGTCACCCAGGCTGGAGTGCAATAGTGTGATCTCAGCTCACTGCAACCTCTGCCTCCCGGTTCAAGTGATTCTCCTGCCTCAGCCTGCCAAGCAGCTGGGACTACAGGCATGCATCACCATGCCCAACTAATTTTTTGTATTTTTAGTAGGAACGGGGTTTCACCATATTGGCCAGGCTGGTCTTGAACCCCTGACCTTGTGATCTACCCTCCTCGGCCTCCCAAAGTGCTGGGATTACAGATTTGAGCTACTGCGCCCAGCCTCTTTTTTCATATTAATAAGCAGTTATGCTTCATCCTTTCTTTTTTAAGAGTCAAAGTCTTGCTCTTTTGCCCAGGCTAAGTACATTGGCATGATCATAGCTCACTTCAGCCTCAAGCTCCTGGCCTCAAGAAATTATCTCTCCTTGGCCTCCCAAAGCACTGGGATTGCAGGAATGAGATGCCACGCCCAGCCCATTTCATCATTTTTAATAGCTCCATATTATTTCATTGTTTTAACTGCTCATAATTTCTTCATAAATCCCTTCTTGTAAGATACTTAGTTTTACAATTTTTTTCTTATGAATTATACCAAGATGAACATATTTGTAGAGAAATCTAAAACTTTGTACACATCCTTGATGAGTTCTTTAGGATTAGAAATGGACTTGATGTATATGCGCTTTATAGAGACCACTGATTTTTTTGAAGGCCTCTGAGGTTTTAAGAGTCTTTTGGAAAGAAGGACAAAATGAGGGTCTTTGATCTCAAAATCGGGTGTGGAATACTTGCTGTTATTTCAGCTCTCGTGTATTTCTAGGTATGTGCACTGCCAACCGTGTCAGGGAAACACCAAGATCTGAAGTATGTCAACCCAGAAACAGTAAGCAGATTTCTGGAGATGGTAACTGGTTACATAAGCTACCATCTGGTCTGTTCTGTCCCTATAATCCCCATTTCCATTTGTATTTCTTTCACTGTGTTCACTCACATAGGCTCCTTATTTAACTGAAGCTATATTAAAGGACTCCTTTTTCCCCCGCTCTTCTTTCTCCTTCATTTTTAGTTAAACAAATAATACATAGTTATTGTAAAAAGAAAAAAGGGAGGGGGTCATGCGTGGTGGCTCACGCCTGTAATCCCAGCACTTTGGGAGGCCAAGGCAGGCGGATCACTTGAGGCCAGGAGTTCGAGACCACCCTAGCCAACATGGCAAAACTCCATGTCTACTAAAAATGCAAAAAAATTAGCCAGGCATGGTAGTGTGCACCTGTAATCCCAGCTAATCAGGAGACTGAGGCAGGAGAATCACTTGAACCTGGGGAGCGGAGGTCACGGTGAGCCGACATTGCGCCACTGCACTCCAGCCTGGGCAGCAAGAGTGAAACTCCATCTCAAAATATAAAAAAAGAAAAAAGAAAAAGAAAAACAGAAATGGGATCATGATGAATATGATCAAGATCACGTATTGAAATTTCCTTAGTAAGACATAGATATCTTTCTATATCGATAGTAAGATATCTATATCATCATTTTAATGCCTATATAATGCTCTATTCTGCTGGCATGTACAATTTATTTTACCAAACCCCTATTATTGAATATTGAAGTTATTTCTAATATTTTGATAACATAAAACAATGCTGAGATTAATCTCATTGTGGCTACATTTTCTGTACTTTTCCTGTTTACTTAAGATGTTAGAAATTGCTGGGTCAAAGCATAATTACATTTATTTGTTTATGCATTTACAAAGTTCCCTCCAGAAAAGCTGAACCAATTTACACTTTTACAAGTTGCTTCAGTTTCTTCCTCTAGGTATAAACCTTTTCCTTCCATAGCCTTTCCTGAAAGACTTACTTTCTTCCTATATGATGATGGGTAGGGAGCCATTTTGCATCTCTTCCTGCAATTTTGAGTCTCTAGCTTCTACCTCTCTCACCGCAGAAGTCCTTGGACGTCTCCTGAGAGGCCGATTCCAGCCATGCCTGTCCCTAGATGGGTAGCCTGAATATGGCTTTCCTTCCTTGGTATCTTGGCAATGCCAGCTATTTTGGTTCTCTAAAAGGGCCACTTCCTGTTTCATTCTCTTTTGTGGGTAGTGCTGAACCACTGTCACATGTCAAATATGGGATGACTTTGGAGGCTGGACATACAGTGGAATCCCAGGTGACTAACAGGAATATGCTCGTAAGGAACTGTGTCATTGGCCCTTCTCTCCCTCAGAGTGGCAGTGAACAGAGTATTCAGTCATTGTTTCTGTGCAGGTGGCTGCCTTACTGTTGGGGAAGTTCCAGGGTCTGATTGAGAAGTTTTATGTCATTGATTGTCGCTATCCATATGAGTACCTGGGAGGACACATCCAGGTGAGACCACATTCTGGCCATTAGTAGGGGAGGACTGGAGACAGCTCTTTATTGAGAAGAGTCTGTGGACAAAGGGGCCTATGAACTCTAGAATTGGGACAAATATTACATATCTGAAGCACATCAAGGCTGAGGTCCTCCTTGTTTTAATTCTGTATACCTTAAGCAGCTTACTTTCCCTTTCTCTCTTAGACCAATATCCTTCTTTTCTGTAGGAGCCAAGGGCTCCTACCTAGACATAAAAACATTAATCCAAGGCCTGAAGCACTTTGCAAACACTATTCATGAACATTCCTCGCAGTGATCCCTGTTCTTCCAGTGGTTCAGTTCTGTGAACATTTATTGAGCATCTACTACATACCAACCTCTGTGCCAGGCATTCAGGGTATATACAGAGATATACTTAGACTCCTGCTCTGAGGATGCTTATAGTCCAGCTTTTCTGGTCCAAATATCCCAGGTTCGTATCCCACTCATTTCTAAGTAATGGCACCGTCCATAAGCCCTTGAGGAAATGCTTATTAAAATTATTTTTCTACAGGGAGCCTTAAACTTGTATAGTCAGGAAGAACTATTTAACTTCTTTCTAAAGAAGCCCATTGTCCCTTTGGACACCCAGAAGAGAATAATCATCGTGTTCCACTGTGAATTCTCCTCAGAGAGGGGCCCCCGAATGTGAGTGTCTAAATGGGGTAGGGCAGGTGATGGAAATGGATTTTGAGTTGGACTTCCCAGACCAGTTCAGACAGACTGACTGGATTCTATAGTTTGAAGAATGTTAGGGAGGTTGAAGGAAGACATTCTAAAATTCAAAAGTTTGGAGCAATAAAGGAAAAGGGATTGAGAATGAGGCCACAGTAGAGGAAAGGAGGAAGGGTGGTGCAACTTGGACCTTGTTTTGCAGGCACAGTGAGATTGGAAGGTCCTGATGGGGGTTAGCAGGATCCCAGTGAATGGCCCCTGGAATCCTGACCACCTTTCTTTCCACCCACCCATCTCTGGGTTCTCTCTAAAGGTGCCGTTTTCTGCGAGAAGAGGACAGATCTCTGAACCAGTATCCTGCATTGTACTACCCAGAGCTATATATCCTTAAAGGCGGCTACAGAGACTTCTTTCCAGAATATATGGTAAAGGGAGGGGCATGCGGGGAGCCAACTTTAGCACCCAATTCCCAGGGCCTGCAAAGCCCTCAGAGAAGAAACTGCTGCTCCTCCTTAACCACTGCCAGCAGCAGCGTCTCTATTATTCTTCGTAGGCAGAGTTCAGGAGTCTAGAGATCCCTTACTCTGTCCCTTACCTTTCAGGAGTTGTGTGAACCACAGAGCTACTGCCCTATGCATCACCAGGACCACAAGGCTGAGTTGCTGAGGTGTCGAAGCCAGAGCAAAATGCGGGAAGGGGAGCGGCAGCTGCGAGAGCAAATTGCCCTTCTGGTGAAGGACATGAGCCCATGATAACAGACCAGCCACTGGCTGCTAACAGGTCATCCAAAGACACTGCAGAAACCCTGAGCAGAAAGAGGCCTTCTGGATGGCCAAACCCAAGATTGTTAAAAGATGTCTGTAAACGAACAGGCTGCCAACCTGTTGAAATGCCAGGCCTGGGAATGGATAAGGCTTCAGCTTGCTGAAACCTGGTGACAGAGTTCTGGAGCTGGCTCTATAAGGCAGCCTTGAGTTGCATAGAGATTTGTGTTGGTTCAGGGAACTCTGGCATTCCTCTTCCAAACTCCTCATGTCTTCTCACAAGCCAGCCAACTCTTTCTCTCTCTGGGCTTCTGGCTATTCAAAAGTTATCTTCCTTCTTTCTTTGTATTTTCCTTCATTGTTTCCCCCTCTCCCTTTTTTAAAAATGGAAAAATAAACACTGCAGAGTGAGAGATATGATTGTGAGCCTAGCCTGCTCCTAGAAGAGCTGTATATGGAGATCACCAAGTTAGACTCCTCCATACATACCATCTTTATTCATGGCTGGGGCCAACATGCTTTTCTCCAAACCAGTAATTCTTAGGCTGGGCATGGTGGCTCATACCTGTAATCCAACACTTTGGGAGGCCACGGTGGGTGGATCACTTGAGGTCATGAGTTCGAGGCCAGCGTGGCCAACATGGTGAGACCCCATCTCTACTAAAAATACAAACATTAGCTGGGCATGCTGGTGTGTGCCTGTAGTCCCTGCTACTCAGGAGGCTGAGGCAGGAGAATCACTTGAACTCAGGAGGTGAAGGTTGCAGTGAGCTGAGATCACACCATTGCACTCCAGCCTAGGTGACAGAGCAAGACTGTCTCAAAACAAAACAAAATGAAACAAAAAACCAGTAATTCTCAAAGTTTGGACCCTGGACCATCAACATCATCTGAACTTGTTTGAAATACAGATGTTCGGTTGTATGCGCAATCTGGCTGCAACATCTGTCACCCCACTGATCGCTAGGGTTGAAATATAGATGTTCAGGCCTCACCTCAGTCCTCTTAAATCAGAACTTCTGAGGTTAGGGCTCAGAAATCTGGGTTTTAAAAATCTCCCTTTTCAGTTGATTTGAATACATGCTAAGGCTTAAGAACCAGTGCTCTAGTTATCCCAGCACTTTGGGAGGCCAAGGTGGGTGGATCACTTGAGGTCAGAAGTTTGAGACCAGCCTGGTGAAATCCCATCTCTACTAAAAAAAAAAATGCAAAAATTAACCAGGCATGGTGGCATATAACTGTAATTCCAGCTACTAGGGTGGCAGAAGCAGGAGAATCACTTGAACTTGGGAGGCAGTGGTTGCAGTGAGCCAAAAATCCACTGCACTCCAGCCTGGGCAACAGTAAATTCCATCTCAAAAGAAAAAAAAGAACTAATGCTCTGGAATTAAGGTAAGCCTTTCGAACTGTTTTCTTCAGCAATGTCCTAGGCTTTCCTTTTCTAGATCATTCCATGGTATGAGTTACTAAAAGTGCCCCACAGACTCAGCAGCATGTGGTATCTAGGCTTTCTCTAAGGCAGATGACAAATCTCAGTTGGGCTCAAAGGTACCCTATCAGCAGTGGCTCACGCCTATTATCCCAACACTTTGGGAGGATGAGGCTGTCAGGAGTTTGAGACCACCCTGGTGAACATGGCAAAACCCCATCCCTACTAAATATACAAAAAATAGTCGGGCCTGGTGGCAGGCGCCTGTAATCCCAGCTACTTGGGAGACCGAGGCAGGAGAATCCCTTGATCTTGGGAGGCAGAGGTTGCAGTGAGCGAGATCATGCCACTGCACTCCAGCCTGGGCAGCAGAGTGAGACTCCATCTAAAAAAAAAAAAAGTTCCATATATATGGCTTCAGGGGGATTTTGACTTTTAAGTCTTTTCTCCACTCCATTTCACATCTCACAAAGGCAAGTTAGGATTTAGAATGGTTGGAAGTAGAGATTTGTGATGTATGAAGATAGGAATAAAACAAAGCAAGATCTGTTAGACTTCAGGAAGATTTTTAAACTGTATTCTTCAGCAGTATCCCAGGATTTCCTTTCTTGGCGCTTTTTAGTGTGAATAGGCTTTTATCTGCAGTGAGGTGTGGCCCTACTTGGTCTTGGGTGGCAGTGGAATGGACCGAACATTGTCATTCTCTGGTATTAACCTAGTAGTACTGATAGCCCAGGACTGAAAAGGACAAAGCCCTCTACAGCCTAGGTTGAGATAAAATAAAGACAAATGTACTATCTTCCCAGGTTTTGGAACAGAGAGTGTTTTTTAAAGTGAGTGGGAGGGAAGGGTAGTTGTAGCCATAGGGCAGCCCATGCACGTGCGTGAGTGGCTGGACTGGTTTTTTTATTTTTTTATTTGGCAAGGTTTGCACATGCTCTTGCCCCAGAGTGCTGCATGCATGCTTCACAGCAGAGGGCACTGCTGTATTCTCCAAGCCATTCGGCTGAAGCCTGTAGCATCCACTCCTAGCTACTGCCTGTCTAAAAAGGGAAGCTGCCTCTGTGGCCTTCTCCCTAAACCCTTGAGCTCACAGCCCAGAAGATCTTGGGGAAAGAGGAAAGCTGCTGCGGCATTAGGTGGAGATGGCCAAAGGAAAGATGCTGCTCCTCCACCCCACCCACACGTGCCCCTGTAGGAATTCCAAGTTCCAACATGGGAAGAGATTGATGTACATGTGCCCACGTGTTAGTAGTCTTAAGTGGAAATTGTGAGTTGTAAAACAAAAAAACTAAGGCTTAATTATCTTCTTTATGGAAAACTGTATTTTCCCCAAAGTCAACATTTTTTGGTATGATTTTTTAGAGATAGGGTCTCGCTATGTTGCCCAGGCTGGAGTGCAGTGGCTATTCACAAGCACGATCCCACTACTGATCAGCACGGGAGTTTTGACCTGCTCCGTTTCTGACCTGGGCTGGTTCACCCCTCTTTAGGCAACCTGGTGGTCCCCCACTCCCAAGAGGTCACCATATTGATGCCGAACTTAGTGCAGACACCCGATCAGCATAGCCCACTGCAGCCCAGAACTCCTGGGCTCAAGCGATCCTCCCACCTCAGCCTCCCAAGTAGCTGAGACTATAGGCACGCGCCACCGCGCCTGGCGGTATGATTTCTTATAATATCCTCTCACTGTATAGGGACTATATGATTTGATTCATGTTATTTTCAGGAATAACAATAGTAGCTGACATTTTTCAGGTGCTTACTACATACAAGACTATCTCTAAACTCATATATATACACACTGATTTAATTTTCACAACAAGCCCATGAGACAGGTACTCATTACTATGTGCATTTCTTTATGAAGATAAATTGAGGAACAGAGGGATTAAGTAACTTTTTTTTTTTTTTTTTTGAGATAGGGCCTCACTTGTTGCCAAGGCTGGAGTGCGGTGGCATGGTCTCAGCTCACTGCAACCTCCATCTCCCAGACTCAGGCAATATCCTCTCACCTCTGCCTCCTGAGTAGCTGGGATCACAGGCATGTGCCACCATGCCTGGATAATATAATTTCTGTATTTTTTTTTCTAATTTTAATTTTTTTTTTTTTTTTTAAGAGGAATTCTCGATTTGGCTTACTACAACGTCCACCTCCTGGGTTCAAGCAATTCTCCTGCCTCAGCCTCCCAAGTAGCTGGGACTCCAGACACGTGCCACCACACCTGGCTGATTTTTTGTATTTTTAGTAGAGATGGGGTTTCATCCTGTTAGCTGGGATGGTCTCTCTGACCTTGTAATCCACCTGCCGCGGCCTCCCAAAGTGCTGGGATTATGGTGTCAGCCACCATGCCTGGCCTTTTTTTTTTCTTTTTTTTTTTTGTAGAGACGGTTTTGCCATGTTGCCCAGGCTGGTCTCGAAATCCTGGGCTCAAGTGATTTGCCCACCTTGACCTCCCAAAGTGTTGAGATTACAGGCATGAGCCACTGCACCCAGCCAAGTAACTTGTTTAAGATCACAAAGCTAACTTATGGTGGAGTAGGGATTTGACCCAAGATAGTATGGCTCCAGAGCCTATCCACTTCATGGATTTTGCTGTTACCAAACCTTCATCAAAGAACAGTGTGCCAAGGCAGGTGCAGTGGCTCACGCCTGTGATCCTAGCACTTTAAGAGGCCAAAGTGGGAGGATCCCTTGAGACCAGGAGTTTAAGACCAGCCTGGACAACATAGCATCTCTATAGAATAAGAATAAACTTAGCTGGGGCCAGGCACAGTGGCTGACGCCTGTAATCCCAGCACTTTGGGAGGCTGAGGCAGGTGGATCACAAGGTCAGGAGTTCAAAACCAGCCTGGCCACCATAATGAAACTCTGTCCCTACTAAAAATATTTTTAAAATTAGCCACGTATGGTGTCCCATGTCTGTAATCCCAGCTATTCGGGAGAGTGAGGCAGGAGAATTGCTTGAACCTGGAAGGCAGAGGTTGCAGTGAGCCGAGACCAGGCCATTGCACTCCAGCCTGGGTGACAGAGACTCCATTTGAAAAGAAAAAAGAATAAACTTAGCTGGGCATGGTGGTGTGTACTTGTAGCTACTTGGGGGGCTCAGGCAGGAGAATGGCTTGAGCCCAGGAGGTTGAGGTTGCATTGAGCTATGATCTAGCCACTGTACTCTAGCCTGGATAATAGCAAGACCCTGTCAAAAAAAAAAAAAAAAGTATGCCTTTCCAGAGTTGGCACTGCTTTTTTATTGTTTTGGGTGTTAAATCTATAAGAGCCTCAATGGTAAGTTCTTGAGAATCTGGGGCCATAAGGTTGCTTGGACTTGAGAGATAAAGAGCAGGCACTAAAACCCCAGCCTAGAGACCTCAGTATGAGGCTGTGTAGGGGTTGTGCTCAACACTGATGCCCTTGCACTGACTGGTATTTATTCAGCAGGAAGGCAACATTGAACAGAAATCTTTGGATCTAAAAACTGCTTCTCCAGGCCAGATGCAGTGACTCATGCCTGTAATCCCAGCACTTTGGGAGGTCAAGGAGGGTGGATCACCTGAGGTCAAGAGTTTGAGACCAGCCTGGGCAATATAGCGAGACCTCCATCTCTACAGAAAATTTAAGACATTAGCCAGGCACAGTGGCACATGTCTGTAGGCCCAGCTATTCAGGAGGCTGAGGTGGGAGGATCGCTTGAGCCCGGGAGGTGCAGGTTGCAGTGAGCTGAGACTATACCACTGCACTCCAGCCTGGGTGACAGAGTGAGACTCTGTCTCAAAAAATATACATTTAGTTGGCCGGGCACGGTGGCTCAAGCCTGTAATCCCAGCACTTTGGGAGTCCGAGGCGGGTGGATCACGAGGTCAAGAGATCGAGACCATCCTGGTCAACATGGTGAAACCCCGTCTCTACTAAAAATACAAAACATTAGCTGGGCATGGTGGTGCGTGCCTGTAATCCCAGCTACTCAGGA